CCTCTACGCCTTTTTTATAGGTGTCTAGTGTGTTCGCTTAGTAGTAGTGTTAGACTTGGTCTGTCTTGTGTTAGACCTAGGCTTAGGTATAAGCCTAAGCCCTTTACACTACTAGAAAGGTATAGAGACTACCTATAAACGCTACGTTTAGAACTGTATCCTATGCAGGAGAGGGCACCTAAGATAGCACTAACTCCCTAGCATGCTCTACCCCCTTCCTATCCCTAGTCTACTAATGCAACACCTGTGTATTAATTTTAAGGATTTTCTATAGGATTAACGTAGTTATAATTAGATTATAGTTATTATTAATTGCCTATTAAGCAAGCTATTACTATCCCTTACTATAAAACTATAGACGCCTAAGGTATAGCTACCTTATTTATTTAGTAGGTGTACTAATTTAGACACACTCTAGATACTATTATTTCTAATTAAGGCCCTTAGTTTATATCTAGTTTCTAGTCTAAGTTCTATTAGATTATAGGCACTAAAGTTAAGCTCTCTACTACCTACTATAAATAAACTAATAGATAAACTAAGATTATAAACAAGTATATTAATTAGAGACTAAGGCCTTTTATATCCTATTACTAAGATAACTAGAGTAACCTACTACCTATAATAGACTGTGCCTAAAGTACTCTTCTATATTTATCTATTAGCATAGCTCTATATTAGCTCCTCTTTAGTTCCTTACTAAAGCAAAGTTAGTATTAGAAACTAGAAAAGACCCTATCTACTATACTAGAGAAACTAAACTACAAGGACGCCTTATCCCTTACTACTTAAATACATAACGCCTAGAAGATTACTAAAGAAAATATAGAAAGAGCTTAAGACTAAATACGCTCTGCTACTAATTACTATTACTATCTAGTTAACTAGAAGGTTAGTAACTATATTTATCTATCTACTACTAATCTTGCTATTTTATAACCTAGCTAAAAACTATCTAAATAATAGGAGGGTCCCTTTAAGGTATTAGAATAAGTAGGAAACGCGTATCGCCTCTAATTACTACCTAGTTCTAAGATCTATAACGTTTTCTCTCCTAATATACTATATAAAGATCCCTAAGACCTATTACCTAGATAAGAGGCTCTAAAACCCCTTAGTACGCCTATACAAGGTATAGAGGAATAGGAGGTAGAAGAAATCCTAGCTAGCAAATTATATTAATCTAAGCTAAAATATAAGGTTAAGTAGGTTAGACATAATCCTAATCCTATTTAGTATCCTACCTCTAACTTTATAGGTGCCCCCTATAAATTATAGGTATTCTACTAATAGTATCTAAATTAGCTAGGTCCCCTACGCAGCTTACTAAAATAGATTCAAGCCTAGGAAAAAGGTAAAGAGGATCTAATATTACTTTATAATAATTATACCTAATATTAGAACTAATTTATATCCTATTTAGCTACGTATTATCTATTAACTACTATCTATTACTATTATTCTTATTACTATTTATTATTATATCCTCATTTCAGAACTATCCTAGAACCTTTAAGGTTCCTAGGACACTACCCTTAGGAAACCTCTTTATTCTATATCTATCTCTCTATTAGAACCTAGTTTAGACTCTGTATTAGCTAAGATAGCGCCTAGACTATCTTTCTTAGCTAGCTTCTAGACAACTAGTGTAGCAGGTGCAGGAGCAGGGGTAGGAGCTAGGACTAATTTAGACTCCTTCTCGTAGAACGCCTTTATCCTAGCCTACACTAGGAAGGTTACCTCCTAATTTAGTGTTAATTCCTCCTTAAGTTTATTAATAGCCTTTATTAAGCCCCTAACTACTAAGACTATCTTATAAATACTATTCTTAAGCTTATATAAATTAGATATAGTAGTATAATATATAGCTATAAGAACCTTAGTAGCTTCTATACCCTTAGTCTAAGTATTAGTAATAGTAACGTACTTAGCTAGGTTTTAGGTAGCTTCTTAAATAGTAGCCTTAAACTATTTAATATCCTTCTAATAAGTAACTACAGCATCCTTATCCTTATCCCTTTTAGTAAGGTTTATAATTAGGCTATAGTACTTATCTAGAGCACCCCTAAGGGCAGAGTACTCTAGGCTAATAAAAGAAGGAATCTACTAGGATTAGTAAAGGAACCCTATTAGACTTAGATACTTACTAGATTGTAATACTTATTCTAGGAGATATAGTACTAGCACTTCTTAGAATTCTTTAACTTAAAATTAAAATTGTTAAACCTGCCCCTACCTAGAGCCCTAACTGCCCTTATATAGAGAGCGCGATAAGTAATAGGGAGGACTCCTAGTAGTACTAGTACTAGCATAGCTAAAGGTTCTAATTTAGATTAGTAACTACTTAATTATATAGATTAAATACTTACTAGATTTTAGATAGATTAGGTTAAATAATTAAAAATTAGGGATATAGGAATAAGAAAGTTAGTAGGTAGAGGGCTAGTTATAGGCAGGCTAAGGATAGGGTTCTGTGCCCTAGGAACAAGAAGTAAAGGTAAAGGTAGAGGTAAAGGTAGAATTATTTTGCAAGAGCTTTTCTTTAATAAAGGATCTAAACCTAATCCTAAGGATAGGGACTATCCTTTCTCTATAGGAGGGGGTAGTGTAATAATAAGGTAGAATTACCTGCCTATTATTCTATACTAAGTTAGGCCTAATAAAGGCCTGACTTACTAATATATATAGAGAATAGCTCGCCTATAGTTAGGATAGGCATGATTCTTCTTATCCTTTCGTACAAGACCTATAGGTGTAGGAATCTTATCCTTTTCTATACAGACGCGCACTCCTATATGCCTTTGAGTCGTATAGGATACCTTTTGGATGCCCTACCTACCTAAGTCGTTACATAGGGTAATTAACTAGTAAGTTATACTACCCTTCTTACCCTTAGTAGTAGATATCCTTATAGCTTTTATCTTAGTAATCTTACTAATAAGGTCCTTATATTCTATAGCCTACTTAGAATTATAGATAACCTTAGTATTAACTATATAGCCCTATAATAAGTTAGTATATATTAAAATAGGCTAAAATAAGGAAATAAATTTTTCTCTTAATTATATAAGGCCCCCTAGTCTTAACTTTAACCTATTTTTCTATATAGGTATTTAAAATATACTTCTTAACCTTAGCCTTACTAGTAATTATCTAAGTATTATATGAATAGCCCTTAGGATAAATCTAAGACTAAGTAGAATTACTAGAGTTAGTAGTACTACTATAGAGAAATAAGTAATTATTATAAGGAATTAGTTCCCTAAAGGATAGGGTTAGTATAGCCTAGAATAGCCTAAAAAAACTAGTTTAGGCTAGAAAGGAGCCTTACTAGGTTAAAGCCTACTAAAGAGGGTAATAGCGCTCTATAATAGTATATTTAGTAATCTTAATCTACCTTTTAGTTAGGTAGTTCTTACCCTTAGGCGTCTTAGTACCTTTAGGGCTTTTAAGGTATTTACTAAGGTAGATATTATTTAAAGGCTAGAGATAACCTTAAGATTACTATTATATATATTTAGGACCTAATATAGGTTAGAATAGCCTATTCTAAGCTATTATAGGTATACTTACTATAATACACTCCTAACTAAGAATACAATAGTATAAGTACTTATAGAAATACTTAGTCCTACTATTACCCTTCTAACTAGTAAAAATACTATACTCCTAATTATTAAAAAATAATATTAGGTAAACTAGCTTCCCTAGATGTTAATACTACCTATTAGTAAAGGTATTAATATAGTAGATATAGAGGTAGTTACTAAAGGCCGTATTTATTATAATAGAATTACTTATAGTAGTAGTATTTATAGCAAAGCTATACAAGGGGTAGGTAAGTATAAAAGGTAGTTTAAGAAATCTATAAGCTAAATAAGTAATAAAGTATACTAGAATAGCCTATAATAGCCTACTATAACTATCCTAGGAAAAAGTAGAAAAGAAATAAACCTTGGAAAAATACTTACTAAATAAGGTAGGTAAGGGGTAGAGTAGAGGATTAAGAAAAGAATTTAGGCTAGGGGTAGGCCTAATTTTATATAGGCGCTAATAATAGTAGCTAGTAAACTAGTAAAGTTAGTAAGTAAAGGTATAAGTAAAGGTAGGAGTAAAAATTCTAGCTTTACTTTAGATTTAGTAAATTAAATAATAGTATTAGAATAGACTAGAGTAGCCTATTATAGCCTAATAGGAAGGTGTATAGCTTTAGGAGGCCTATAATCTATCTAGTTAAGTTAGTTAGGGTAACCTGCCTAAAGAGGGGGGATAATATTAGGATATAGGGCTCTACTAACCCTACTAACCTACGTATAGGCTAGAGTAGCCTAAGCTAGATAGATTATATACTTATAGGTAGTATAAATACCTATAAGAACTAATATATATAGTATTAATATATTTAATATTTAATTAATACCTATTATCCTAACCTACTACTAAACCTCTATCTCCTACTATAACGTCTTATAACCCTAACCTAACCTATTTCTATTTAATACCCTAGTTATAGAAGTCTTTAATAAAGTAATTAAAAGGACTCCTAAATTAAAACAACCCTAGAATTAGATAAAATCTTAAATACGCTAATTAAAGCCCTATAAGAGATCCTAAGGGAGGGCCTAGTAATAGCTATTAGCTACTACATCTAGTAAGAAAAGATATTTTATAACCTAAACGAAACCACTACTATAGCCCTACGTAAGCTAGGGAAGAAAGACTACCCCCTAGTAAACACGTATAGGCCTATTACCCTTAAAAATAAAATAGCTAAACTAGTAGAGATAACTAAAGCCACGAGTCCTTACTATATACTAGACTAACTCTTAGGATCTTTTGCTCTTCTTAGTCCTCTAGAAGCTTAGAGTCTGGTGACCGTTGGAACCACCCATGGTGCACGTCACACGTGCACGGACGAACTCGAAAGGTACCGTAACGCTTGCCCGACTCAGATTGCCCCTCTCGCATTCCTACTCTTTTTTAAAACATTGGTCTTCAACATGTCAATTTCACAATCAAACCCTCCAGTTCCTTCCAGACCACTTGTTATTGCGTCTTCTCAAGCTCATAAAACGACATTAATCATTCTCCACGGTCGCGGGTCCACTGCCGAGAAGTTCGCTGAGCCTCTACTACAACATGTGGTCTCTGCAATAGATGGCAAGACCATTGAGAACCGCGAAACATCCGCAAGCAGCAAAACCTTCCAACAGCACCTCCCAAATACCAAATTCGTCTTCCCGACAGCCCCCCTTAGAAGAGCAGTGGTGTTCAAGAGAAGTCTAACGCATCAGTGGTTCGACAACTGGTCTCTGACACAGCCGGAGCTAAAGCAACATTTGCAAGTCCCTGGCCTTCGCGAAACGAGTGTCTTCCTACATGTCTTACTCCGAGAAGAAATCAAAACCATTGGGGCCGAAAACGTCGTGCTCATGGGGCTCAGTCAAGGATGCGCGGTCAGTACTATTGCTGCGCTCTTATGGCAGGGCGAGCCTTTTGGAGCTTTGATCGGCATGTGTGGCTATCTACCATTCCGCAAAAGCATGCAAGATTATATTGAAGAATCAGACGATAGAGACAGTGATTCCTTCGTGGGATCTGAGGCTGACGGGGATGACATGTTTGAACGGGACGGCGAGGACCGCGATGAGCGGAGTCGGTATGGTAAGGCAGTAGACTGGCTACGCGAGGAGCTACGATCTGGTGAAGAGCTCGAGGTTCTGAGCAGCGCTTCACCATCTTTACAGTCAATACCAGTTTTCATGGGACATGGGAAAGATGATGAGAGGGTACCACATACCTTCGGAAAGTTGGCTGCGGATTTCCTAGATAGTATAAATGTGGACGTCACTTGGAAAGAGTATGAAGGACTGGGACATTGGTACTCGGAGGATATGCTACGGGATGTCATTGAATTTTTAAAAGAGAAGGTCAAAGGATGACGTCTTCATGAGTAAAAAATTTGTAGTCACGCTACGCTTTACATTCTTACCATCTTTGATGATAGACCGACAACATATAACACAAAAGTTGATTGAATTGTATTAACGATTGATTGATGATTAAGGTAAATATCTTACAGCTTTGCTTATCTGCTATCATAGCTTCGTTCAGAATTTTTATACTAATGAGTTTCACAGAAGAACAGCGTCGCGCTGCGGCACAGCTACTGTGTCCGACCACTTTACGATCCTATGAAGATCCTTTCAACTCCACTGAATCAATGCCGTGCAAACGAAGCGGCTCTAAAGTGGACCCTCATCTCACTCTATTAATTCCGGCCCTGCCGTCATTTTGGTGAGTTTTGGGCGTGGTCACTTTGATAGGTAATTCAATGCACATTTCAATGATCTATGTTCACTTATATGCAGGTGGGAGCTACTCGGGGTAAATGACAGGTCCATGTTCTTTCTAGTTCCCTAGTTTCATGTGTAGTGTGGGCTTTGGCGCCGGCTGCGCCACGCTGGTGCATTCGTCTGATACGGAGAAAGTCTCAAACAATTGCGCGCGTGAGTCTAATCAATCAAGCGTGAGCAGACTTCTGATATTTCTTCAGCCGAAACGGCATCGAAATGTGCTAAAATTGAAGTCGGCTTTGCACCCCGGGCTTTTGCCATGGTTGGTAGAGAGGCTGATCAAGTCTCTACACCTTATAAAGGCTTCGCCGCTCTCCTATGAAGAGTTCGATCGAACAAAGAGAATTCCAGCACTCCTATCTATCTATCACAGCACCCTCTTTTAAATACGCCTGACTAGAGCCAAGCGTCCTTGTCTATCACGCCGTTGTGAAGACGTAAATCACACCCAACTCGCATCTGGCTTACGTCCGATCAAGGCAAAACAGTTTTGATATCAATATGCCAAGCCAAATCTTCGACATTTACGTTGCATTCGGACAGCGACGTGGCAATGACCCTCTTCATTGGATGCTCCTTGTAGCCCCGACCGGATCCGATCGATGCACTTGGTATCATGTAACTGGAGGGCCAACACAGGGAACAGGTTACTCGCTCATAATCCAAGCCAATAAAAGAGTAAACAGTCTAGGTATAGCTTCGAAAGAGCTTGTTGGGAGGATAGAAGACAAGGACATCAACAAGCTGAAAGCATCAGCGCAAAAACCCAACCTCCAAAGATGCCAGAGATGGACTTGCGAGGTACTTGAGGACTTGGAACGTAAGGGGCTTATTGCAGTGGGGACGACTGCGATAGTCCTCATGAGAGGTCTTGCTAGAGCAGCGTGTGTACACTGTCACTACGGTACAAGACCTGTTTACAGTAGCCATATTTATCTAAAGTAGACTAAGAAGTGGTTTAGGTAGAAGAAGTAAACCTAAATAGGGTTTACTATACCATGTATTCCACTTTTACTTCTACTTCTATTA